CACTCTACATAATCCTCTTAGGTGCACACTTATATTTCTGCCCTAAATAATTTGTTTCACTTCTCTGCTTATTCTTCCATCTCTTTTACCTCTATCCCCCATAGATTGGTTGATCCTTTCTTTTTATCTTCCCTCCACAATCTTTAATTTATTTATCATAATTCACAGAAAGACCCACCATCTCCTTCTCATTAAAATTTGCTGATGAAGCCTTAAATTTTGCATGATTATTCAGAAAAAATTATGTATGAAAGGGCAAAGCCTGCGTCAGTCGAGCTGGAGTCCTATGCGAGCTAGGGTAGTTTATGTGGCTGTGCAAGAAAATGATCGATTGAACAGGTGAGTATGGGATAGCTGGAGATGACTTCCTGAATGTAATTATTGTTTCAGAGGTTAGATGGTACTGAATTGTGGCGATTATTAATTATTAAATGAACTCTCCAAGTGTAGGAATTATTAAACAGGCAAGAAATAAAAAGAAAGCATTATTCTAGTACATCGTTGCTTATGCAACTTTACATTTTAACATTTGAAGTGTTCCTCACCACAAAGTTTTATTGTTATTAGTTTTATACTGATTTAATCATTCAAATCTATACCACCATGTGTTTTCTTTTACATACACATTGTATGCTGAGTACAGAGTTTCGGCTGAAGCTAAGACGTGTTTTGTACACCACTTATTTGTACTAACCTTATAATTGGGAGGAAACATGTACTTCATCACAATAGGAACATTGCTGAAGTAGAGGTTTCAAGGAACAAATACAATTAACTTGGAAGTCTGCTTGCTTCTGGAAGGACATTTTTCTATGACATCTGTGCAGTAAAAAGCCCACAAGCGTGCTTCTAATTAAAAACGCACGCTATCCAGAATAGCGCGACCCGCAAAAGCGGTTCTTCCTACGAGAATGTGCCTTGTGGAACAGTTTGAAACTCAGAAAAGAGCTTGTACCCTGGAAGGAGGGTTTCCCCTTCTATTTGCTGTACGGCGGGAAAGCGGCAGACCAAGTAACTCGCAAGTGCGCTTCCCCTTGCAGGTCTTTTCCTTGTGGGAAAGCGCAGAACCAGCAAATGTACTTGTCAGTTGCAGTAAGAGGGGAAAGCAGTAGACCTAACGTTACATAAGCGTGCTTCTCCCTGAAACACTGAGTTTTGCAGGAAAGCAAAAAAAAACCCGCAAGTGCGCTTCACCTTACGAAGTTGTGTACTGCGGAAAAGCGACCTAGAAATACTTCATTATCTACATTTACTGCAAGAAATCCATGCGCGAATCTCATCCTCCGAAGAGCACTTATGGCAATAGGCCACATTGATTGACTGAACATGACTTTATAACTAACCAAATTACAGATTTCTCACTGGCAAAATTAAGAAAAGAAAAAAATCATTGATTTGATTGAAACTGTTTTCTCAAAATAATTTTTTGAGAGAAATATAATTTCTCTGAAAATAATAAATACACTAGATTCAATATGCAAGATCAACCAGAAACATATACTTTAGTCTGTCTGCCTGATTCTATACCTCTCTCTGCTGGTATTTGAGTTTGTATGCCTGCTCACGCACGCAGTTCTTTTGTTGATTCTAACCGTTCCCTTGTTTTGCTATACCTGAAGAACGAGCTGAAAAGTAGAGAGAGCGTTCAATTCTCCAATTTACTTTTGCCTCGAAGAAGTCTTATATTTGCTCGTTATCCGCATATCAATATTACTTGATAATTATTTTACATGGAATGAAAAGATAAATACACCTGAAAGCAATAAAATAGTTAAGGTTCCAGTGCTAAAATTAATGTTTTTTTAAAAAATATCTTATATCAAAATGTTTGATTTGAAACATCGGTATTCAAATCGTACTTGGGAAGTCATTCAATTACAGAATTAAATTACTGTAATTTAATTACTTTTCTGGTAATTTGTAATTCATTACTTTCTGCTAAAAGGAGTTGCAATTGTACTTTATTTGCTTTCTAGCATCAGTAATTACAAACTTTGAGGCACAATTACAATTACTTTTGCAAGGATTTCCGGTGCCGACCGGAAATCCTTGCATCATCATCACTGATGACGACATCAGTGACGTCACCAACATCCGCATCGTCATCACCACTGATGACGTCATCAGTGACGTCACTGATGTCACCAGCATCCACATCGTCATCATCACAGATGACGTCACCGACATCCGCATCGTCATCATCACTGGTGACGTCATCGGTATCCGCATCGTCATCGTCACTGATAATGTCATCAGCGACGTCACTGGTGACATCATCGGCATTGTCATCGTCACGTGACCCCCCACCTCAGGTCACTCCACCCCCCCCCCCCCAGTACCCTTCCCTCCTCCTCCTCAAGAGCTGCACTCTAATTCGGCGTTACAGGGAGTTGTAAACGGCTTTCACTTCTTTTTTCCAACTGTACAAAGAGCATGTTCCTTTACACCTATGTGTGTTACTTGGAAACTTTATTCAAATATTTAGATATCACTAATTGTCATTTTTACTTGCCTGGCTAACAAAAGTGTGTCAACCCAATTTTACTTTAGCGATCTGGCATCCTCCAGTATATGAACTGATTTATATTATTTAAGATATAAGAATGTAAAACTTCATTGCCCAAACTGTCAGGTTCTATTATTAATTTAACAAAATGTATAAAAGGAAAGTACAATATGTGACATTTACACAGCGATGCTTAAAGGAGCTATGCAACAATTTTTGTTCTGTGCACAAATACCGCTTAAAACGGATCCCTAACGTTAATGACCTATGAAACACGCGTTCGTTTTTCACCCCACGCAATAGAAGTCCCAGAAAAAAATTTAAGAAAAACGAGCAGCGTTCACCCCCTCAACTCGCAGCCAGAACAAGCGGCCACGTGATCTGGAGCCGACTATATGCCGACAGTGTTGATCATAGCCACGCGCTGGGGTTGGCAAAGCGCAGGACACGCGCTGAGTTCCAGACATTGTCATGGCTCGGCTGTTGTCGTCGTTGCAGCGATTCGACACGGGTCACAACCCGAATGCTTCTCGAGCTAGCAATTGTCACGAGCCCAAGTCGAGTGCCCACGCAATGCTCGGGTCCCATCTATGAACCGCATTCAAATATCGTCACTTGGGTGTACTGCGATCCCCGAGTTACGTCATCAAATTTTGCAAAGGAGAAATTGAATGAAAATGATCGTTTTTGTCCTCGAAATTACACCACAACAAAGGAGTTTCTTGTCAAATGGCGTTGCGTGTGGGTATCCTTGAGTCCCAGGTGTGCCAGTAAGCTCGTGTAGAGAGAAAAACATTCCAATTGAATATCGTTGCACAGCTCCTTTAAGCCTCCTCCGACACTGGGGCAAGAAATGAACAAATGCGTTGCATTCTAATTAACTGGTTTAAAGTTATGTGGCCCAAGTAGGGTCGGTTTCAGAAATAAGTAATTGTAAAGTAATAGCATTGTTTTTTAAAAGTAATTTGTAATTGCAATGAATTATTTCTCAGGTAGTAGTAATTGTAACTGTAGTTAAACTACTTTTGGAGCAAAGTAATTGTAATTAAATTACATTTTAGAAGTAATTTACCTGTATGATTAAAAATGTGGTCTAAATCATGATTTCAATTTAAATCAACTTGATTTTCATCTTCCATTCTGTCGATATGTGTCAGTGCATGACCATTGCCAATCATTTCATTTGCAGCATGCGACATTGAGCCCTCAATTCCTTATACGAGGGCAATGGGAGATGGCCAATGGATGAAGATGGGCTGAACAAATTTTTTCCAACATTTTGTTGATATACTATTAGATAACTTTGCACTCTGTAGATGAAATTCGGTACGGTCTGCTTTTCTGGAATCGATCGGATGGACACTGAATCTATAAGTCGATTGAATCAGGATGTCCCATGCAGGGACCAAACTATTTAATTTTTTTATAGCTAACTTACTAATATTGTAATATTGCTGCTTTTATGCTTCAAAGTGTAGATAAGTGGGTAGCACAAATGCTCAGAAAGAGTGGCAATGTCATGTTCTTTATATACTTCATTATAGTGGAGACAAGAGCTTCTGGAAAAGTATTTGCGACTCTGTGTAGGTGTCAATCAGGCAAAGGCAAACGCTGCCTTGTACCGCAGAGATGCGAGGAATTGTTACACCACTTTTCTTTGCAAATAACGATTTGGCAGGCTTGACTAGTCCAGAGATATCTGCAAACGAGTGGTCAGTGCTACAGCGATTGTACATAGTGCTGGCAAAAAAGGGCTGTCATTTGTGGCCCTCGAATTAGGAGGGTCAGCAGCAGGTTTATAATAATCATCTTTATTTTGGGTGCCATCAGTCTTTATCTTGGATGCCCCGTGGTGCACCAAAACAAACAACAAAACCAGCAAACAAAAAAAATCCTAAACACACTTAAAAGTTAGCAAACAAGTAAATGTAAGATTATCCAAATGGCGATGGTACATTGCAACAGATGCAGATATATAAAGGTGAGGTGGAGCGATGGCATTAATGACTGAATCCGAGAGACGTGAGGTATTGCACAGTGAGCACACATAAAAGCATACGAAATGTCTGGTTACACATGAAGGAACATGAAACAGTTCAGCTTTAGTTTGCCTGTAGTTGTTTACAAAGGCATCGGTGGACATCTTCACAGATTCCTACTTTAAATAGGGTGGACATGCCTGCAAGAAGTTTTCCCACATCGCACCGGTGCATGTGAAAAGCACCAGCTCTTTTTTGGTAACCTTCTCCACGCTGCGCCGGTGCATGCGGAGAAATGCCAGTGCTCTCGCAGTTAGCTTTCTTACGTTGCTCTGGTGCACGCAGAGAAGAACCGGGCATTATTTGTGGAGTGATCAGAAAGGAAAAAAAGGGGCCCATGTGCGCTAGCTATTGTTGGGGCAGGATTGATATAAAATGCAGTGTGTTGATGTAACTACTAAGGTATAAAACAAATTGGCACCCCACCAAATGTAAGTAAACGACATCAAAATCGATTTGTAATGCAGAACAGTTTATTCACATTATAACACAAAATTCCGATTTCCCCGTACCACTTCAGACTCGGAAAGAATCATCGGACTGTGCAGCGCCTAGTTGTTGGTTTCTTCAGAGCCAATTTACACAAGTAGCAACTTGCTCAGTTTTCAAGGGGCCTTGTTTTTGGAGCCTTCTTGTTACCAGATGTGAGGCCCACAAACGTTTTGCTATAATTTCCCCAGCCTCTACTATGTGGTCAGATGAACAAAACTTTGCTGGAAAAGTCGGAGAATTCTGAAGAGACAACTTGGCAGACAGCCCGAGATAATGCAGCACCATAACCTGTTCGGCACAGAAAATATGTTGCTATAAGGGTCTGGATCAAGAATGTCACAATTGGGAACCAAATAAGCACTCTTCTTTTATTTCACCACAATGGATGCTGAATCCATCGGCAAAAATGACAGGTTAACAATATGCAAACAAAATGAAGGAATTGCCCACAGGCAAACACTGTAGCGAATCAGCCTGCATGGTGGCTCATATGCAGCAAAGTGAGACAATAAATCATATTCATTATTGTAAGCTTAAAAGGCAGTAACCTGCTCGAGACTTCAAGCCCGACAAAATCATAAGCCTCTGTGTAGGCCTGGTTTTGCTGCTTCACACAACACTCTTCAATAAGTTCATCCTAACACGAAAAAGCCTGTTGGTCCGCGGGCACGAATGCCTATCCTGTGTTAGGAAGTTGCTTACACAACTTCAGTGGCACAATATATCCCAAGCTTTTGTTGCACTATTAAACCCCAATTATCATCCCACACAACTTCCTAGCACAGAACATTTCTCTATCCGCCACCCGAGAACGCGCTCTCTAGCGGTCAGGCTCCGCCGAGAGACCTAAATTTAATTTAAAAAAAAGAAAGATTAAAAGCATCATACATCAACAGTGAAAGTTAACACTTGTAAAGCAAGGGGTCACATCATGTCCAAATAATTGAGAAGCTGTAATGCTACTAATTAAAAAGTTAATTGACAAATTTTAGCTAATTAGCCAACTGATTGGGATGGATATTTCACCATACAATTTCTGCCAAGCTCAATAAATGAATGAATTAACACAGTATCAGTAGGAAGGTCATCTCAATTAAAAAAAATTAAAACATGTTGCAGATAGCTAAGGAGCAGAAATTCCCAGACATGTGGAGTCAACATCACGAGGCCAAAAGCAATATGTGCCCTTGAGGGCACATATTGCTTTTGGAGAATTGAAGCTCAACCTCAATATGATCTAACAGTGCAGTCAAATTTTGATTTAAAAAATTCCTAGTAGGCACTACGAGGTCGAGAAATCGCACCCCGATACATGGCATCAAACTGAATCTGAAACGTTGTGCAAGAGTGCCGGTGAAGTCATTTGCATACCTGCGGCCCGGCACGTGGGTTGGCGTCATCGCAGCCGGCTCCGCTTGAGCGAGTGGAGCCAGCTGCGGTAGCTCCGACCCACGTTTCCGCGCCGTGACACAAAGATGATGTCACTGGCACTCTTGTCCGCCATTTCAGTTATAGGTTTAGTGTGATGCCATGTACCAGGGTGACACTTCTCGACCCCCGTAGCACCTACCACAGATTTTTCGATCAAAATTTGACTGCACTGCTAGTTCAGTTTTAGTTCATTAGCTAACTAATTACCTAATTTCACCCTTTCCCTAGTGGACGCCATGACTACTAACACTGCCCCAAGGCTCAAATTACCCTATCTCACGTTCTCTCTCTCTGAAAATTTGGTGCAGCTAAAAGAAAAACACTGTACAAGGTTACTTGACAAAACAAGGTAGGCAATAACAGGGATAAACGCAAAGATAATACATAAAGCGGAAGGTACTGGAAGAAACCGTTGTTAATTAAAATAACCTCAGCTTATTCGGCATTTTAGCTGCAATACAACTTCGGCTGCAAACAAATGTCATGCCATGGTTGGGTTTTTTTTCTAGACAGGCTTCGTGAAAGAGAGATTGGCATCCTGCGCATTGAATTACCCCAGGAGCATCAGCAAGCAGAGGCTGCCTGCACAAACAATGCACGGTGAAAACAGAATCTTTTGGTCGCACACGAGAAACAAGGGAAAGAGTTACAGGGAAGTCTTCCATCATCCCATTACGAATGCACTTTAGTAGATGGCCCCTCATTAATTGATGTCTAAAGTTTACAGTGGTAGGGTCTTTGCCAGATGCTATGCAGTACATGTTAGCAATAGCAAATAAGCCACAATCTACTGTGCAACCTTGGCCCTGTGCAGGTCTTACAAAAATAGTTACATTTGCAGATGGTAACTTAAGTATGCTACACACCTGTTTTACAGCATCAGGGGGAACAGTTTGATCAAGAGAATCATAAACAAAGACAGAATCAGGGGGCGCATCAATAGTTGTTACTGTGATCCAATGATCCGGGTTTGCTGTGTGTAAGATTTGAATGAATGGACCCTTTATCTGCTTGAATAGTAGTCCCTGGCTCAGCAAAGCGTCTTGGAAACCTTCCCGATGCGGAAATTTTTGACGTGTTAACTGCATTGCAATATTCATGACACTGTCTGGCAGCGGACGGTTGTATAATACATCGTCCAAGTGTTCATCTGTTAGTGAATAAGCGCTATAAAGAGGAATCAACTCTGCACGAATCATGCTAAGACAAAGTTTTTTGTTGCAGATTTCTGACAATTTACGCTTTTTTGTGACTTTTACAGTTCGCGGTCTCCCTCGTTTACTTTTAATTAAACTAATACGCAGCTCTTCGGAAGGTTTCCTGTCACTTGCTGTGTCTGTTGGCTGTTGATCAGGCACATCCTTATGAGCTGCACGGGGTGCTACAGACTGTGACAAAAGCTGCACCTGGTTGCTAGAAAACGTTGTAAGATTGCTAAGGAATGTCTGAATATCTGTCAACTTTTCATTTAGCTCCTGTTCGCCACACTGGGCCAAGATGTTAGCTGTTGGTTTCACTATATCTGTTAAAAACTTGTAGGCATAATTATACCTGGCCTCAATGGTATCCAATTTTACAGGTGGGGGCTTCAGTATGGCTGATGTAACTGTGGTTTGGGTAGGCTGGCTTGTGCTAGACTGACTTGGGCTAGGTGGGTTTGAGCTAAGGGGGGTCGGGCTATGAGGACTTGGGCTAGGCGGGTTTGAGCTAAAGGGAGTTGGGCTACGTGGGCTCGGGCTAAGTGGGTTTGAGCTAAGCGGAGTTGGGCTACGTGGGCTCGGGCTAGGTGGGTTTGAGCTAAGTGGAGTTGGGCTATGCAAGCTTAGTGGGCTCGAACCAGCTGTGCATGGACCAGGCATGCTTAGAGGGTCGGTAGCTTCAGATGCTAGGAAGTGGCTCCTACGCCATCGATGCGGAATAACAGAGTGGTCAAATAGTTCTAGATTTGCAAAAGACCGTGCTGTCAAAATGTGGGCACATGGAAGTCCATATTGGGAATAACAGAGGCATGTGCAACTGTCTAGGCTTTTTGCTATCACATACTCTGTCCCTTCCAACTTAACAGTGTATGCGTCATTTTGAAAGCTAACAATATAGCGAATAGTCTTAAACTTCTCATATTCCCGTAATACTATATTCCTAGCTACCAGAGTGCACGTTTGAGCTAATGTTAGCTGGAACATGTCAAAGCTACTTGTATTTAAATTGAGCTTAAGCTCTCTAAGTTTTGCAAACCTTAGTGATATAATATCATGGTCAATATACTCTAGCAAAGCAGTCATCGCAGCAGCCAGGTGCATTCCTGGACGCAGGAAGCTTTTTAGTTTTTGATTATGGCTCTCAATTCGGTTGTTGGTATTATTCCCCATTGTTAGCAAGTCTCGGCGGTACGCATGCGCCCACATTTCTTTGCAGGAATCCCAATTGTTCATGAAGTAGAGCAAAAAATCGTCAGGAGAGTGTTCCCTCAACAGCGCAACTTTTTTGTCGTAAACAGACAGGCGATTGGCATAGACAACTTCTTTAATTAGGCGACGCAATAATTCCCTCTGATGAACTGGGTATTTCATAATCTGCAAGTCCAAGTAATGGAGAACATGCCAAGTGCATAGGAGAATGGTGCTTTTTGGCAGAAGCTCTTTCAAAATCCTTAACTGATTTAGGTCCTTATCTACCATAACAACTTTGCATGCTGAAAGTACAAAAGGATTACAATCTATAAACTTCTGAAAAACAGGGCGAACAATTAGGGAGGTTTCCCTTTGCAAAAACGCATAGCAAATGCATCGACCCCTACCACGAGCGTCTTCACAAAGAATTGAATAGAGAATGTAACCTTCTACGTTAACCTTATATGTCCCATCGATGAACAGAATTTCGGGATACTTTTCCAAAGTTTCTCGCATAACGGACGTCTGGAACAACACAAATAACAGCTCATTGTTTTTATCTTTTTCATAATGTATGATCCAATTAGGGTTCTTGGAGGCAAGACTATGCAATTGCTCTAACAACAGGGCCCCATGAGCCTCACTAGTTTTAACTGCAGTCACAGAATTCACACTACGGTTTTTGTAATTGTTAATGTCTTGTGTTGTTAGAGTCTTGCCTGTTTTTTCATAGACATAATTTTTGAAATCCTTAGGTTTAATATTGCATTTTGCTACATCTGCAAATGTCTCCTTCTCAGATGTAGTCAGAAGCCTGTTTTGGGGGTATGTGCTGCATAATTCCAGACTATGGTTATGTTCAACAACAAGTTTTGAGATTACATAGCACATATCTGGCTTTGTCTTCAAAACTAACAAGAGGCGTGCCTGGCAACCTGAAAAATAATAAGACTGTTGTGGGCGCTTTCCGCTGCCCATGGCTGATAGAGGGCGTCCATGGACACAGATGAATTCAACTGAGGAGTATTTAAATTCCTCACACTGAGCTAATGGACATGTTCTAGACCTCCTTTTTGTAAACACATGCAACCCTTGTTTGCACCAATCCTCAAATGCAGCTAGAAAGGTAGAGTAGTTAGAAAACTTGGCCTGCGCAAAAATGACACCGCCACCTCCATACAAAGTACAGGATTTTGAAGGACTGGGGGCATTCTGCAGGTTACTAACGGCAGATCCAGGGCTTTTCTCTGGAACCTCGGAAGGGTACTTGACTTCCTGGGCAACGCACTTATCATCTGCAGCAACGCCTTCGCCTACATGATGCCCTCCGACAGCTATCTCTATGCTAGAGCCCTCCCCACAACCATCATGCTTGAGACATGCCATTTCTGAGAAAAACTCTGTCCCCGCGTCATGCCTTCTGCATGCAGTCACATAGTCAGCACCACCCCCATCATGACCACAGGGCGTAAACCCACAGCCAGGAGTACCCCCTGTATCATGCAGCACATGCTTGCCTTGTCCACCCTCCCCATCAAGCACAGAGCATGCAACCCCACAGCCAGAAGTCTGCCCTGCGGCATGCAGCACATGCTTGCCTGCCCCACTCTCCCCATCAAGCCCACAGCATGCAACCCCACAGCCAGTAGTCTGCCCTGTGGCATGCAGCACATTCCTGCCTTCTCCACCCTCCCTATCAGGCCCACAGCATGCAACCCCACAGCCAGTAGTCTGCCCTGTGGCATGCAGCACATTCCTGCCTTCTCCACCCACCCCATCACACCCACAGCATGCAACCTCACAGCCAGAAGTCCGCCCTGTGGCATGCAACGCATGCCTTCCTTCTCCACCCTCCCCACCATGCCCACAGCCAGAAGTCCCCCCTGTAACATGCACTGCATGCTCGCCTTCCCCTGAGACCCTTGCATCATGCTCTATGCCCGCATTCACTAATCCCATGCTGAAGCCCTGCTCTCCGTCATGCACTGCAGACACATTCTTTGCATGCGTGAGTGCCCTTCGACTCTGCAACAGGGCCTTCGAAGGACGTTTCCCTCCAACGACCCTGCTCTCTGTCACACATGCTGGGCTGCACTCACCTAAGTCAGAGAAAGGATTGTCACAAACAGGCAAAGGAGAAAGGGTTGAGAGGCACCCTACTGCAAAGTCTTCTCCATCCCAAGTAATAGTGGGGGACGCAATAGTGGCAGCACGGTTTGGTACCTTGCGCAGTCCCGGAGACTTTCGTCCCTTGCGCTTGGACTTCACCCTCTGCCACCGCTCTCCGCCCACTATACTTTGGATAGGGTAGACTACCCTGGGTTCAGCTGCTGCCGAGGCAGCCTGCTCACCGGCCCCTACAAAAGCTGTGCTCCTCGAGGAAGCCCTGGGGGGCCCCTCTGCACTAACTTCTGTACTCATAGCAACATCGGTGACTCCACCTCGGTCCAGCTTCGTAGGCTTCTCAGAAGGTTGCTGTCCTTCCGGCCTCGGCTGAACCTTTCCCCAAACAGGTACGCATGTACTAGAGGGAGCCGTGGATGCACTCTCCCAGGTCTGCCATACCCGGCTGCCCTTGCTGCGGACTCGAACGCCACCAACCAGCCTGAATCCAGCACCACAGCTTCCCATCCTGGGCTCATCAGAGTGCTTGCCTCGTTTGTGCCTCCGTTCAGCATTTACACATGTGGCAACTGGTTGGCTTGTGTCCGATCCGAGCTCGGGTGCCGTGCTGGCAGTTGGGACAGGAGGGCCTGCAGATTTTGACATCTCTGCCCAGGTGGCCCTCCGATCAGCAGCTGCCTCACAAGGCGCAAGGGTGGTCTCAACGGAAAGAGCAGGAGAAGCAAGGAGGGGTTGCACAGGAGAGCCAAGCAGCGGAAAGTCAACCTCACATGCCATGGTTAGTGGCGGGCTCTTCACGGAAGGAGCAGCAGAAGCAACAGGAAGGGGTTGCACAGATGCAAGAGGAGGAGGCTGCACAGAGCAAAGCGGTGGTGGCTCATCCTCGCATGCAGAAGGAGCAGCAGAAGAAAGAGGAGGCTGCACAGAGCAAAGCGAAGCAGCAGCAGAAGTGAGAGAAGGAAGCTCCACAGAGCAAAGCGGAGGTGGCTCATCGTCGCATGCCGAAGGAGCCGCAGGAGCTGAAGGAGAGCCAAGCGGTGGGAACTCGAGCTCACATGGCGCGGTCAATGGGGCACCCTCGATGGTCCAGCCGTCCCACGAGCGGGTCCCTGGCATTGCCTCCATGTGGTCCTGCTGGATCTTGGCCCTGGCCATCTTCTCCAGGATGCTCCGCACTTGCTGGCCCATGAACCCAGCGAGGACCTGCACACGGTACTTGACATTAGCACCAAAGCTGATTGGCAGCTGCAGTCACCTCACTTGTTCAAATTGTTAAAGATGTTGCCTTGAAGATTTCACAGAAAAGGTGCTGCACCTTTAGCTTTATATACAAGGCACCTATGCCAAAACGTCTAACTGGGACCGGTTGGCATCTCGACTGGTTACAATTGGAACTAACTGGTCCCAAGTGGGAATTGGCTGTTACCAATAGGAGTCCAACTGGGACTAGCTGAGGGGTCAACTGGCTTGACTATGCCCAGACGGGGAACGGGTATGGGTAAGTGGGACCAGTTAAGGAGTTAACTGGTTAGAGGGATTCCCAAGGGGGAGTTTCAATTGTTTTCCCATTCCCTGTTGGGGTTCACATGCTGCGTCGATTTCGACAAGATGGGGGTGTATTGATCTTTGCTAGTGAAGGAAAAAAAAACTTAAATTTATAGATTTACAGAAATAAATAAACCTTTAATTACTAGGTATACATTTATGTATTTAAAAAAATATTTCAAATTTCAATGTACATATTCTTTTATAAATTGCGATATAGTTAGTGGCATAAAAAATGTTTACTTAAATCAACGTTTATGTACATGTATAAAAATGTATTAAACATTGAAGCAAAGACCTACCCTTTGTTTTTTAATCGCACCCAGCAGGTTGCAGTGACGCACACGCAGATTAGTTTTACGCACTGTCGACAGATGGCACATGTGACACAGTGAAAAATCACCAATCATGATTTTTAACGATGATGAAGTTAAGAGGCTGAAGGTACAGAATATTACAGTTGAGAGAGCTAGTAAATACAAGTATCTAGGAGTATGGATATGTGATGGTGCAGAATATCTCAGTGAGCATGAAAAGTATATAATAGGTAAGGGCAACAGAAATGCAGCTGTAATGAAAAATAGAGCACCTTGAAATTACAACAGGTATGAGGTGGTGAGAGAGATTTGGAAAGGGGTCATGGTGCCTGGCTTGACTTTTGGAAACACAGTGATATGCATGAAATCCGAAGTGCATGCGGGACTAGAAACAAAACAGTGCAGAGTAGGTAGGCTGGCTTTGGGGGCACATTGCAAAATGCCAAACCAGGGAGTACAAGGAGACATGGGGTGGGCGTCATCTGAGAGCAGTGAAGCGGTGAGCAATATAGAATTTGAAGGTAAACATGTTTGAGAGAATTCTCTCTGGTTGGGTAAATAATAAAGAGATAAGATAATCCGCCAACCAAAAATTGAAATAGTAGCGACCCTACGTTTCGAAACCGTTCGTTTCTTCTTCAGGGGGATGAATGAAGGACAGCAGCTTCTTCTTCTTCTAGATGTTGAGCGACTTCTTTTTCTTTTTCATTGGTCTACCAGCCTACTAAGACCAATGAAAAAGAAAAAGAAGTCGCTCAACATCTAGAAGAAGAAGAAGCTGCTGTCCTTCATTCATCCCCCTGAAGAAGAAACGAACGGTTTCGAAACGTAGGGTCGCTACTATTTCAATTTTTGGTTGGCGGATTATCTTATCTCTTTATATAGAATTTGAGGATCGGTTGAGGCAAATGGACGGGGAGCAATGGGCACGAAAGGTTTTCAGCTATTTATACATGAGGAGTGTAGACAGAAAGTGGAGACAGCACACTAGAAAATTAAGAGAAAAGATTTTAGGCTATAGTGGAGATACGGAAGAGCAAGTCTCAGTTAAAGGGGCCCTGCAATGACTTTTTTACTAATTTTTAATTTGCACCGAACCTGAGCGCGCTGAACGTAGTAACTTAGTGAAACTTTTCTTTTCTCAAAATTCCCTTTATTTTACCAGTTATAGGCGAACTAAAATTACAAAGACAAGCAAAAAATAACCCCCCTCATGACGTCCTTGGTTGCTTGAGTGTGGCCCTGAACTAGAGGAGGAGTAGTGAGCTCATCGAGCGCTCACGGCTGCCGCACTCCGTGTCGACGGCGCGAGAGGGCGCCATCAAAGCGTGTTCTGGATAGGCTGCATGCAGCGGGCAGCCAGAGCGGCTCTCATTGCATTTGCTGGACGATTAAATACTAATTCGGCATGACACTTCATTGGCCACAAACGGCAGCAAACACAGGGTAAATGTCAGTTCAGAATGAGAGCTACTTTGCGCTGCCATACCGCGAAATAGCCAAACCGCAAGACAAAGCTTCTCGCCGAAGGCCTTCGGAACGCTCGGAGCCGGTCGGATCCTCCTGCCCATACGACCGCAGCGCCGCCGCGTACATCCGGGACCTTTCCGTGTCGGCGCCTGATCCCACTACTCCTTTCTAGTATGCGCCGCCTTTTCCACCGCTTGGTGGCGGGTATGTCGACAGGTCATTTCTTGTTTCCGTACTTTATGAACTGCATTCGTTTCTTTTTCTATCTAAAATACTGAACAAGAACTACTTTTATAAATAATGGAAATGGTTCGCGCCACTTATATTTTCTATTTCGACTAAAAAGAAACTTTAGCAGCTTTGACCAGTAGTAAGCCCAGGACCAAAGGCGTCACATTTCGCGCGCTTTCGGTACCGCAGGTCGCCCTCGTCGGTGGCGGAGGTTTCCGCGTCGTCCGGTTAAAATATGACGCACTGATATTTAGTTACTCTCTCCGTGCCCGCTGGCTTGCCCGAACCGCAAGAGACATGGAAACCGCAAAAAAGGTAGACGCTTAAGTATGATTGCAGGGCCCCTTTAAGAAGAAAGTTAAGGCCACAGAAAGAGATCGGTAGCTAGAGGGAATGCAGACAAAAACGGCTCTGGAAAGCTATAGATTAAACAAAACAGTTATTGCCAAAGAAAGCATTTATGACAATTCTAGGGGAAGCTCATTGTTGTTTGAGGTAAGGGCATTCAGCGAACCAGAACATACAGAGCGAAGTACCAGGAAATGGATACAGTGCGCACTGCTTGTGGAGAGGAGGACGAGACGGCTGAGCGCTTGATACTCTGCTGTAAAGGGCTTCATCCTACGCCGACCGAAGACAACATAGATTTAATAAGTCATTGGGTTTGAGAAACAGCGAAGGAACAGTGGATTTCAAGACAGTAGAGGTTACCAAGCAAAGATTAAGTGAATGGTGGCAGCAAGCGAGAGAAAACTAGGTATTTTCTTATTAACTGATGGCAAGGGTGTTTTATAGCCTCACTTTCTGTGCAGTGCGGAGTGAATATAGCTTTCAAATTTAAATATTCTAAGCTTAAATGGTAAAACAAAATGGCTAGGTGGCGCAAGCTACCGCCCGATCCAAAGGGCTCAGCCGGATTCATCCATCCATCCATCCAGTGGTCGGTAGAGAAGGGAAACCATCGCCGAGGTTGGTGTATTGATAAACGTGTCGTTATGAAAATGTCAAAACCATATCTGCGCTTCATGCGACCCAACTAAATACGCCATGGTGGTCACGGTGAACTTCGAGGGCAGAAAGATGCAGTTCAGCGACCGGAGGGCACCCAGGGAAAAACCAGACGGAAGAGAAAACAGCCGCGGAGGGCACAATGGTAAAAATGGCGGAGAGTCTACCCGAACTGGCAGCTGTTGTGACACAAGCAATTGGAAATGTTTGATTGTAAGGTGGGAGCGCAACCGCATCCTATCGGGACTTCACCTGCGCAACGCGGAAACACGGGTGAGCACCTTTCTTCACGCGATGGAGAGAAGCTAGGGACGTCGTCACGGATGCTGACAGACGCCAGCGGCTAATCTTTCACCTCGCACGAATATTAGCTCTGGGCGATTCAATCGTCGCAATTAGCTAACGAGGCAACTGAAGCGGTCCTTAGAGCTACGCTGTGCTTCCTTGAACCCGGAAACGTGGACGTCACCGAACCTATTTATTTTCATTCTCTGTTTTTGACAATAAAGACTGGTCAACCTTCCAAGTTGTGCCGTGTTTCGTTGCTGGAGTTGGCACCGTTCTGTCAACCAGTTGAATCCAACCAGTAATTTAGCTCGCCACGTGCGCAGGTCAATTTTCAGTTCCCCTCTTTACGGCGAGCCTTGCAATCGTTGCCGCCCTATATTCGCGCTCTTTAGTGCAGCGACATAACGCACGTGTACATACCTTGTTGCCGATCCGGCTTGGGTGGACGCCGTCGCGGCCGATCCACTGGTGCCACTCGTCAGCCAGCCCGTCAAGGAACGTGAACCCTTCCCTGCGACACAACTCTCGCAGCAGCGAGTTCACCTCTCGGTAACGGTCATTCGAAGCCTCGATCTCTGCAGCGTGACTACGCTGCCATTCCAATGAGCAGAACCTATTCTCCCGTCTCGGAAGAACGGCAGAAAAGGCGATCTGCATCATTGGATTGCGTTCACAGATCTGGGCAGCTAGACGACGATATTTGTCGATGTACACGCTGGCACTAATATGGGAATTATTAGTGCCAACGTGCAGGATGACAACATCAAAATCGGGTAGCCTCTCAGACACCTGGGAAAACAAGTGCTCGATTCTAATACCACTAAACGCCGCAACCTCAACAGCCAACCGACTATTCAATGGGAAGTACTGGGGCAAGTACTTCACCATCGAATCGCCGGCTACCAAAACTCGAGGCATGTTGGGGGTGCGATCAAAGCTAAAATACAAAGAGTAGCACTAGATACGGAAAAAAGTATTGCTAAAAAGAACAAGACAATGCTAAACAAAACGCTTCAAAGAGTGCGAAAAATCAGCCAAAATAGCTTGCGTGACCGGAGCCGACAGCAGCGCGGGCAGGAAGGAATGGTACGTGCAGCACGGGGCAGGACCCGACCACAGAAGACTACAGCTGCTACAGCGGCAAACGCACATGGTCGGGCACATGTCATAACAAAGGCAACATCCGGGGCCGGGGATGATACGTTACTTCCGGCGTCGAAGGAACGATTTCCACACAGCCGTCTCTCCTCCGACGCGACTACGTCACTTCCGGCGTCGGAGGAACGATTTCCACACAGGTCCCACTCCTCCGACGCCCGTCGGAGGAAGCACTTCCAAAAAAAATTCCGCATTTTATCAGTTTATTTTTTATTCAGAAGAGTAAGCTCATAATCCTTCAGTGCAAAATTATTCTAGAGCTCCAATCTCCAAGAATCCAATTGGAATAACTGTCCCAATTGGTTGCTTAATACCAATCGGAAAAGTAATGTCCAATTGGAATGGCCAATTGGTTGTTTAATACCAATTGGAAAAATGCATTCCAACTGAAATGGCCAATTGGTCATTTAATACCAATTGGAATATATATTTCCAATTGGACTGACCAATTGGAAA